ACTAATGAAAAAAAAAAAAAAAAAAAAAAAAAAAAAGCTCTTCGCAAAAAAATTTACCACTCGGTAAATCCTCGACATCCCAAGGTACATCATGATCTTGGCTCCTCGCCCCGCTTCCACCCGAGCTGATGGATCCTTCATCACCTGTTCCTCGACGAGTCTTTGAAATTCTACCCGAATAATGAGTAAATTCTTCTTCTTCCTCCAGCATCTCAACCCGATTCATCTGGCTCAAAGTTGCAGACACAGACCTTCTGGGCAGAAGAGAATCACAGAAAAACTCCTTTACAAAGAATCTCGTTACAACAAATTATCTTCTTGGTTCTAGCAATTTCTCCATGGGGACAATGTTGAAAAAATTTCGTTGACACAAAATAATTTCCTCCATGATCTCAGCGCGGTATAACGAATTTTTCCTCGATTATGTTTCCATGGGCCATAGAAAATGTTTAAGAAGAATCACTATACTGTATGCGAAAACCCAACTTGTTCACAATTAAAAAACCTTCGAAAAATGTAAAGGCTATTTTTTTACGGGAAATTTATTAATGCACGAGGCGTGAAACTCTAATCAAAATTGACATTGCTTTTTTTAAATTTTTAAATGACTAATTTTTTGAAAAGAATTATGCTCGAAGGGATACTTGCTCTATTTCAGGGAACATACAGTTGTCAATGAATAAGTGCTCTTCTTAAAAATGTATTTTCCATTTGTTTACGCTCATGCTTGAGTAAGATCAGTGCATTTTTAGGAAATGTAAGAAATAGAGGGTCTGAAAAAGATAATTACATTTCATATTTTAAATTTTCTTTATTCATAAAAAGAAGTTGCAGGTGATGGAAATTCTCAACAGATACTTTGTAAAAGTACTTCACGGAATTTGGAACCCGTTTCCCATAAAATTTCAGTCCCATATGCTGAAAGGACCAAGCCTCTCTTGAAGTGTTTTTTTTTTCAGGTCCTTGGGAGTTCGTTTCAACAAGATTTTAATGTATAGAACTGTATATAAATTACACGGCCCGCAATTAACGAGGACAAATTTTGGCGCCTTTCTTCTCACAATGCTCGAAGACCTTACACATACAAATAAAAAAGATAACGTCGTTCAAGACAGCCCAGCTCTTGCATACCTGAAAGCCACCGAACCAAATCCAGGCCGATCAAAGAGGCTCGCCGGTTCGTGAAGAATTATGTCCCCGTTCGACGTTCCACTGCTCTTGCTACCGAAATCGTTCGGAATCTTCCCTCGTTTCGCGGCTCCATCTACATGCATGAGAAGGCCATAAAAATCTCTAACATTGTCCTCATTTTTTTGATCACTAACGATAGACAGGAAACATGGTTTCAAATCTAAGATGAAACGCATGCTTCGTCTAAATAATTTACACTGAATTCATTATTAAAATAACGATACATATATTCGAATTCTACTCAGCGTGTTTCTCCGAAATATCCAAAAAGATGCGCAGTTTTGGGCTCACTTTCAGCGAATATTTAAAAATTTTCGCTCGATTCTAAAATTAAAAATCCTACGAATGATGAGAAACGGAATTCTGATCAAGAATCGCTCGTGACCTCGAGTTCTACATGGTCAATGATTTTCGAGCTACATAAAAATTTTACGCCAAAAATCCGAATTCTCAACTAGAACATATTTTCGAAGGAAACACCTACTCCGAATATTGTGCTGAGGCCCAGCTTCTGAATATGTAAAATTTTCAAAGAAGGACGTGAAAAATTAAAAGAAAATTCACCAGTGCTATCTCCAGCATCGAATTTTGGCACGTACAACACTTCGTTATCGCGCCGCAGGCCTGTAATCCTGCTCACAGTTCTCGTTCCGTCCTCGATTTTGCTCAACTTGAACTCGTTTGTGTCCTTCTTTTGTTGTATCTTTGCCTTTACACCTGTGCCCTGTCGCTTTGGCACATTTCCGTGAGTCGAGCTCACCAAGTCTGAAAACTTCAGGCTGCCACGACGTTCCGTTTGAACGAACCCTTTCAAAGCAACGATGAAAAAAATAGAAGTGATAATTTTTTTATAAAATAATGGAGAAAATCCTTCACGTTTAAAATCCAAGCATTAATCCTCCCTCTCAAAATCAGAGGATCTAGATTTTTTTATTTCTCAGCAGAAAGTCGCCGGCCAACTTCGAAATTTGAAAACAAAAAACCGTAAAAGCTCCCGTATTCAAGGTAATCTTTTCGCTGAAGATTCAAAAATAAAAAATACCGTTACTTACTTGAAACCGTAAATGAAATTAAGTTTATGGCATAAAAAAGTCTTGCAAATTGAGGGGAAGCGAATTTCAACATATGAACTGAAAATATTTCTGAGGTTTCGTGTTTATACCTGCGATTGTTTCCAGTGCTGACGAAGAGGTGGTCGAAGTGTCATTTTCTGTCGCCTTTTTCATGCGTTCGCGCTCTTGAAGTCGCTTCTTTTCTTCTTTCTCAGCACGTTTTGTAGCCTTCTTTTGTATTTTTTCAAAATCTTTTATTCGCTTCTCGGCTTCCTTTGTGGCTTTATCCTTTTTGTGCTTAACATCTTTTGGATTCATTTGTTCCTAGAGAAACGTGATCAGTTGCAAAAATTACTTCGTAAATACAGTAGCAAACAAGCTGAACTTTCCTGACTGATCAAAGAAGCAAAACGTGCAGACGCCAAGTGTCGGTTAGCTGACCGATTGTTTTACTGATACAAAAAGAAAAAAATACTTGCAAAATGCTTACGCTCAACGAGGTAATTAAAAAATTCAGAGAAATAATATTCCACCTTCAACTGAGTTTAATCATTCAATGTGACCTCGGTTGGCTAATAAAAGCACACAGTTTCTACGAATGAATCATTACCTAAGATGAATCGCCTCAACCCAATTTTTATTGAATAATTATATATTCATTGAAATCAACTCCCAACTGTCAACAGAAGCACGCTAAAGTCATCTTGAAACGAAAGGTGAATCAAATTCAACCTCGTAGAAATAAACAACCCGAGTCAACATGCAACAGATGGCATTCGAAGTCTTCTTCCAGGGGCAATTTTTACCGATATCTTCAGGCATTAATCAAATTGAGGAAAAGGGCAACCCCGCAATTTAATTTTGAGAGTACTTGAATCAAACGTATATTTGCGTTTTTTTCTTTTCAATAAAGTTTTCGAAGCATCAGTTTTAGAATATGAACATTTTCTTTTTCACCCTTCACGCAACCGAGTAGAAATAAAGTTCGCCGACGAGATAAGGAGAGCTTCAATGGCGAAGCCATGTGCACCCACGGTTTAGAGATTACCTGCTCCGCGGCTTTGCTGTCCAAAAAGCGGAGAATGTCGTCTCTATTATTTAGAGCAGCTAGATCCTTCGGAGTGTGATAGTCGTTGTCCAATGCCCACAGATTCACACCAAAATTAACCAGGAATGAGGCACAAAGCATGTGACCACGAGCTGCGGCGCAATGCAACGCCGTGTTTCCAAAATTGTCGCATTTGTCAGGATCCCCACTGAACAGAAAAAGTATATATTTTTTAATGTAACAAACTCGGGCTTCAGAATAATAACTTGGACTCTTGAAACCTTTTCTTTTACACTCACGAGGATTTCTTCTAATAAGCGCGGACACGGATTTTTACACGTACCGTACATTATAACTCGGACTGAGAAAGGAAAATAGCTTAGGGGAAAACAACATTTGCCCAAAGTAAAAAAGTATGTATGCATTCTCAATCAGGATTTTAAAAAGCTGATGTTCACACTCTTCATTTATTTCTTAATAATTTAAGGAAGCACGAAAATGAATAAAAAGGAAGGGGGAAAACAAAAGTCGCTCAAAGAGTTTTGCCAACCGACTCTTCTCTCCTGGAGTCTCTCGAGGTGGACAAAACTGTGTACCCTATTTTTATAGATTCATAACATTCCCAGGACAGTTATAAAAGTTCCATCTTTTAAACACCAAGACTATTATTGAAGGAAAACAGAGTGCAAATTCAAAGTTTACCATATCACCGTGAGGAAAAACAGCTTACTTGCTACAAGTGAACATTCTAGAATTTTACATGCAATTTATACGAAAGATTCCCGTGTAGAATTTTACATTTTTAACTTTCCAAGAGCGTCAATCATTTCGAATAATTTAGAAAAAGTTCATTGGTGATTCGTGATTTTCAAGATCACACGATTGCGTTACAACAAAAATAGTGCTGATCAAGGACAATTTTTGTGTAAATAATGCTGAATGTCGAGGAAGTTGCCCAAGCGAGAGCTGCAATTGAAAATCCCTGGCAAATTAACGAGGCTTTCCTATTTATACCATACGGGCTTGGCGCATTCTGATTCAGAAGCTTGTGTACATGAAGAACCTTATCTTACAAAAAGAACTTATCTTAAATCAATGCTAAGATAGGTGCACTGAAAATAATTTCGAACCATAAATCGTGCCTCGACACGACGCATTAATTTTTTTGGCTTAAAAAACCAAACACGAAAAAAATTATAACTCGACGTGCTCAACGAATTTCGCATCTACTGCGTCAATAGATCCCAAGACTCTAAGTTATTTCCTTCCAAATTCCGATCATCACAGAAAAAAAAATACGAAAAGCATGTATACTAGATAACTAGGATATCAAAACATTCCTCACCCTCGACCGACTAGTAACCGTAAGGCATCAACCTTCCCTTCATACGCCGCGTAAATCGTTGGGGTCATCCCGTCCTCGTCGCGAACGTTGCAGTCCTTGTGTGTCGCCTCCTTCAACACCTCAAGGAGCCCATCTCGAGCAGCACTGCACACATGAGCCGATAAGGCCAGATTAGCGTCACTAGATCTCTCTGGGATTGCTTATCTTTACATGAACCAAATAAAAACAAGTTCCCAGGCCAAGTATATGACGCAGCGAATACCAAATAGATCGGCGGAAACCGCTCGAAGCCATCCAGTGATTAGCGGAAAACCGGAGGAAATCACACCTCCTTTTTACTGAACCGTGACAAATCAATTAAATAATTTCTTAATCTAGAAACATTCCCTGCGAATAGCGGAATTTACTACGTCTTTTCGCGGAGTTGAGTCGTCTCAACGTTGGTTTCCAGTACTGTCATTGAAAGAAACCAAAGCCCAAATATCAAACGTAATTTAAGATGCGTCGTAAACGTCTTAAAAAATTTAAAGCTAACCAAGTGAAATACAGTACAGTACCGTGAAGAATAAATCGATGCCGTCAACGATACAAGATTTTTCAACTTTCATCCAACTCAAAAATTAACTCAGACCATGACTAACAGATTCATAAACCCGACATCGGAGAATCAAGATTTGATTTTTCAATTGTGATAATGCAATCGATTTCTCAGAATCAACCCGCAGCAGCTGTAATAAGGTCGAATATATTCAATGTTCAAATCTATTTGAAGAAGCTCAAGGCTTTAAAAACTCAGCGTAGCAGACTAGCAGTCGTGGGAATCGAATATCGTATGATTCTCTGTCCATGTGTTAATATTTTCATCCCTGTTTGCTTCTTGTTCTTTTCGAATTATTGTGGCATATAAAGAGATCACACTAATCTTCAAAAAATTTCTCCAACCAATTTTTCACCCACCTTATTTCGGAGAAATGGATGACTAGGAAAAAATCAACCACCACTGCAAATCCATTAGTGATTACAAAATTGATAACTTGAAGTAATTTATTGCAATTTTTAGGGAAACCCAATAACTTTGCTCAAACTCTCTCCAGCGATGTCAAGAAGTGACCAATGATTTACATGTGGTACTGTATGATTTAAAATTTGAAAATTTTAAGCGCCGAATCACTATAGAATCAAGACAGCTGAAAAATGCCTTGATATACTGTACGACGAAAAATGCGGAAAAAAAGAGTCGAATTCTTCCGACACTTTCTGTAATTCTTCGTGCATCGATCTTTCGTGTTAATCTAATCCCCTCAACAAGAGGATTAAAGTTGTGAAACAAATTAAGTTCTTCCAATAAAGAGCTAGGATTAGATTTGAAAAAAAAATTTAAATGCGTTGGATAATAGAGCCCCGACAAACGAAATAAAAGCCCATCAACCGAATAAATAATGAACATGAACTGTTCTCACCGATGAAATCTGTCAGACATGGCTCAGAAGTTCCTCAACTCAAAGGCGCCAACACGAAGCACGAAAAGTTGCACGTTCACCACCACTTCGACGAGACCTGGGATCTTCGTCACCCACGACACAGCACACAACCGAATCGGAGCAAGGCACAGAACGCGGGAGCCTCACATTTCACGGATTCTCGCGGGCGGGAACGAACCAACCAAACACAGTCACGACGTCCACTATCAGCGTCGGGATACGAATGAAAAATTCACTGCATTATCTTTTCTGAATTGATTAAAACGCAGAACGGAAACAAAAGGAAGAAATGAACTGGCCATGACAAATACAACGTTCACAGAATAAAATAACTGAAATTATGTCATAACCATCAAATACCTCATCCATCATGAATTTTCAGCAGCCAATCATAGACGGATGACGTCACTCAGTAAATAAAGTACAGTATATATATTCACACTACAAAAGCACGGAATTCATTCAAATTGCACCACTCATGAACATTTGTTGATGCTTTTTTGGACACTAACGACTACCGCATTTTTGGCGAAAATGAAAAACTGAGGTCTCTGATTCGTCAAGAATGAAGCACAGCATGAACGACAGATTACCACCAGTCGACAAATACTTCAATGAATCTAGTCGACATAATCAGGATATTTTTTCACAGTTTTTCATGACGATCACTCGCCCCTAGTGTATAAAACTGGCTAAAAACTTTATCAAAATGTGTGAGTATACTCGAATTTCTAAAAATTGGAAGTATGAACGTCAAAAACATATACAGTACAACCAAATTATTTGCACTACGAACGTCATTCTTGAGCCACATCATGTAAGACCACATTTGCAGTTCCAGGATCTTCATCAAAATTAAGATTCGTCGCAGCTTCGCGTTTACTATCGTCGGGACTAGTAGATTTCCTTTTCTTCGAAGGGAACAACGGAGTGAAAGGCACCCTTTTCGGGGTCTTCAGAGGACTGCAACTGTCCATGCCGTAGCACGAACGACAAACAGCCAGATACATTTCTTCACCACCAATCACCTCTACCTGAAATTTTGTAAGCGTCATTCAAAAATTGAGAAAAAATCCATCGAAAATAATGATGGAAGAATAAGGGAATAATATAAGCGGGAAAAATTACTTCAGTTTCAGAACCACGACGCTTGGTAAACGAGGCTTCACGGTCATGGCACATCATGCAAACGGCGGTCAATTTCTCCACTTTCTCAGCCAAGGGGATCAAATTCATCACGTTGGCAAACGGCTGTCGTTGAAAGGTTCCATCAAGCGCTGCAACTATTACTATCTTTCTCTCGTTCGCCATGTCCTCACAAAATTCTTTCAGGTCGGGGAACTGCAACACAAAGAATTTCAGCACGGACTTAATTTGGATTCATGCAACAGACCGAAGCGCGAAAAAATACAGTATTACCAAAATACAGTATCATTCTAGTATTCGGTGGAGAACTGATGAGTTAAAAATGCCGTCGGATACCTTATTCAAACGAATATAAGAACCCCTTCCTACGATTTTGATACTTTTACTCGGATGGTGTTGTTGAAAAAATTTACATCTTATATTTACAAGAATAAAACACGACGGATGGTCCAACAATGGGCATCAAATCGCAAAAAAAAAGTTCAAATCTTTCTGACGAAAATCTAAGCAGAATAATTTCGACACGGAAATCTCAAAGAGCAACTGTGAAGAGCTTCACATTTTTTCCTCTTTCGATAACCCTATTTTCGACGGGAAATAAAAAATTAGCATATCACCGCCAAGTTTATTTATAAACACTGGAGAATTTGTTAGCACGACGGGAAAAAATACTTTCTGGAAAATTGTAACAGAACGTCTTCGATTCGCTAGCGAACTTTCTCCAGATAAAAATGAATTTGTGCTTTATCCAAAAAGATGTCGTTTTTCGTTAATAGGCCTTAAAACAGAACTTCGATTGATGTGTGTTGAAATATTCTCGAAGATGATCCCAAAAATCGGGTGCAAATGTCGAAAGATGCTTACGAATTGACCCTCGTCAATGCCAATTACTGACACGCCTTCAGCCTTATGTCGAACGTCTGCCAAAACATTTGCAGCAACAGCCGGTAGGATTTGCTTGTCGTGAGTCGCTAAATTTTCCACGTCATAACGACAGTCTTTGGCATATTTCACAACAAGGCAATCGTGCCGAGCCACGCCGAACCTCTTCATCCGACGAACCAATTCCGTAGATTTTCCAGAGAACATCGGACCCAAGATTACCTGCAAATTCATTGTTCTTAGTAATAGGTATTGAATAAAAGGTCATCACAGAAACAACCTGAATTTCTCCTCGAAGAGGCACAACGGCACGATCGCGGTTCTCCATGAGCAGTTCGTTGATCGGCGACATGTTGGCACGTAAGAATTATTTTCGAGACGAGGTTAGGTTCAAGCTGTCCAACAACAGTACAGTAATAGAATAAAGAATCAGTCGAGGAAATCTGCAAGAAAGTCAGACGATACGATGAAAAAAATCTCCAGGTTCCTTCATATCAAATTTTTTTTGTCAAGTTGAACGAAGGAAGTGAGACTGCTCAACGGAAAGTGTTCATATACTCACGAACAAAGCGTTCGTGCGCACGTTCGCAAATTCTAATGTACCACGAAAAATAAAAAAAAATGAACTCTCTCAACACCAGAGCGAACGATACATTTTGCGTCAGAAAGGCAAATTCGTGTCAAAGCACCTCAATCCGATTCAGCTTTCGAATAGTGCACTCATTTCAAAAACAGATGTCCTTAAAAAAGAAACACGATGTCGACAGTTCTTTCTGTTGTACCCAAGTTAATTAGCTGTTCGTGAACACTCGTTAAAATCTTTTTTTCCATTTTTTGACATTGCACGCGACCTGAAGGCGATAACATTTTCCAAATTATAATTGCTTTACTAACAGCCCGAAAATAGCACACCACTACGGAAAAGACGGACTGTTTCGAAACTCGTTTTTCTGTTTATGAAATGAACACAAGGAATTTTCTGCAACAACAAAATCTGAATTCAGGCAAACTACAGAATATCAAACAATCTTGAACGAACGCTGAAGAATTTTCCTGGATTGCGGTAACGAACAGCACACAGCCCTCTAAAAATTCACTTCCAAATGGAAACGCAAACCACCCCGATTGACTTAGAAAACATGTTTAGCCCCCAACAGATCAACAACTCAAGAACTACATGCACCAGTTGCAGAAGCAACTTTGCTGCTACTTTTGCGTCCAATGTTCTTGCAAATGAAGTCACCAGCTTCCAAAAGTTTCGGCAAATCCACTCCAGTTTTCACTCCCAAACCAGCCATCAGGTACACAACATCTTCACTTGAAACATTACCGGAGGCGCCGTTTGCGTACGGACAGCCTCCAAGACCTCCAACGGAACAGTCGATGATTTGAACACCAGTCTAAAAAAGGAATAAAATAAATCCAAGGTTCATTAACAAGATAAATATTCATTGCCTACCTGCATAACCGCGAGTATGTTTGCCAGAGCCTGTCCGTACGTATCGTGACAGTGTATTGCCAATTTCTCAACCGGAACATGCAGTTTCACTTCATTCACCAACGGCACGAGAGATCCAGGGGTTCCAACTCCAATAGTGTCTCCCAACGAGATTTCGTAGCAGCCCATGTCATACAACTTCTTTGCAACCTAAAAGGCGGGAAAAAAGTTAGTTTCACGTTTTACGTCAATGAGGCTGGTTGCCCTACCTTTGCCGTCGCGCTGGGGGAAACAAAACCTTCGTACGGGCACCCAACGATGCAAGAAACGTATCCTCGCACTTTAACGCCGTCTCCGAGAGCAAGGCTCATGATATCCTCAATTCTCTTTAAGCTGGTGGCAACGTCACAATTTGTATTCTTTTTACAGAAGGTTTCCGATGCAGTAGTAAAAATTGCAATTTCGTCCACTCCACATTCTGCGAAAATTAAAATCAAGGAAAATAATACAAACTCGAATGAAAAGATAGGAACAGCAATATACTAACCTCGGGCCTGTTTGTAGCCCTGCACATTTGGAACAAGCGCTGGGTACGACACACCAGGTTTTCTCTTCAAACGCTTGACCACAGCTTCGTTGTCTGCCATTTGCGGAACCCACTTGGGACTTACGAAGCTGAACAATTCCCGAGACACAAAATGAAGTTCCAACAAAAACATGTGGGTTCAATATTTATTTTTCCGAAATTTGCATTGAAGTTGATAATTGAATGAGACTGACGCGACACGGCAACACAGAAGGTGAGAATACAATGCAGAGCGCATTGATCGTGAAACTGAGCTTTACCACAAAACGAGCATTCAAATTCGCAGCATTCAACTACTGTATGCCATGTTTCCGTCATTAGGAATACAGTACTTCGTATAAATGAAATGACCTCAATAACTCGACAGATCGCAGAATCGAGAAAAATCAGGAAGTTACATGCCTCGTAGACTCAACACACGGCATTCCGGCGTCAGCTAGACGATGTATCAACTCGACTTTGACATCCGTAGGAACAAAAGTTGACTCATTCTGCAGCCCGTCTCTCGCTCCAACCTCAACGAGCTTAACCTCAGATGGGAGCTTGAAATCTGCCCCAGAAGATGATTCCTTCCCAATGACCTCCGTTATAGATAGCCAATCTGGTCCACTACTGACTTCCGTTCTGCGTTTCGATGCGTCAGACGAGAAAGAAACCTTGCCACCAGAAAAATTGACGCTGCTTGATAAAGTTGAAAAGACCATGTCCACATTCCTCATCTGCAAACCCCAAGTCAGGATCACGGAACGATCGAACATAGTAAAATATTCCTGAAGCGATCGACACATTCCCGACGAAATATTCTTCAAAATTCCGGCTTACCCATGACTGTCCCGAGCGACTTAACCAAGCCCTGCCTTGCTTCGACGTGAATGTTGAAACCAGAGAATCCATCACGCAGCAAGACCTTGCGGCTTGCCCCAGCAAAGTCGCTGAAACCATAGCGTCTTAAACAACGCTAAGAATTCGCGCGCGTGGACAACCACACTGAAATTACGGAGTAGAAATAAAAAATGACCCATCGGATCAAGCCACCAAATAGATTCGAATGGATCTAAATAAGGCCGACAAAAGCGACAAGATTTCTTCCATACAACTTCAGCTTAAAATCGTGTTGGTCATTACTTTACGGCACGACGACAATTTGAGTTTAAAAGAACGTGCGTTCGCGATGAACTTCGACGGCCAGTGCGACAGGGGGGCATATTCCCCCTCAAGGAGGAGTGGTCCAAATCCGGGGAGTGCAATGTTGCGGAGGCTCTTCTGCAGTAAGCACTTACCCAGTGGTTCCTCCCAGAATTTAGTGGAAAGTTAATTCCACAGTGATTCTTGAAGCAAATTTACTTTGGCAAAAGAATGCTGAATTCTGCGGAAATATATTCTCACAGGAGGCCTTGTACAGATCATGATGGCACACAATGCTTGCAAAGTTTATTATGAGGGGTTAAAGCAGTAAAATATTGTTCTATAATTATTGAGACTTGAAAATATAACAAGAAAAATCTTTAACCATGCTTTAACTGTACATCCCACCTAACCTAACCTATCACGAATGCAATTATAAAAGATAACAAGAACAATGGTTTACCATGCTTTGACTCCTCATAATAGGCTTCGCACACATTTTGTACCATCATGGTCTACGAACAAGGCCTCCTGTGGGAATATATTTTCGCAGAATTCAAAAATCTTTCGCCCCATTAAACGCCGCTCAATGAATGACCATGAAATTGGCTTCCCTCCGACTTTTGTTGAATGAACTACTGCACAAGTGTTCTCAATAGAACTTCACTCCGCGGATTTGAATGATGAGGCACATTCTCGCCGGTGTGGGCGGCACAGCGTACTCCCCCAAAATCGTACTCCAGGAGTACACCCTACCGTCAGGCAGGGCATACTCCAGAGTCCATCCTGCCTGAACCAACGACCAGGCACAGTGTACTCCATCAGGCAGGATGTACTCCCCCTGAATTCCCAGTTGCAGTGTTTTCCACCAGTGGGGATGTTTCAGTTAAGGTTTTCCCCCCAGTCATGGTGTTT